ATGTGGCTTGTTGGGAATTGTAGTAAGGCAGCTCTGACAGCCATCTGTTGACAGGAGTAGGTAAGTGTAACTATTTTCTTTTCTAGAGCTCCTATCACAAAGTCCTATCACCCAGGGTTTGCAAGAATCTTACAAATGTTACTCCTGGGGGAATTCTGCACCAAAAATCTAAAATTCTGCATATTTTATTTGTCAAAATAATGTACTACAGGAAAAACAGAAGCCTAGCACTTTTCTTGTTCCACAGTGTTTGCCTGTACTGTGAGCTACAAATGCTTCAGACTGGGCTAAGAGCAGAGCTCACAGAAATCCTGGAATGTATGTCTCAAAGAACAGCCATGTGTTTTTGCAGGGATGCTAAATACTTGGTTTGTATTCACTGGGACTCTAGCAGTGGGGCTTCAAAGGGAAACTTCTCCAGCCCACCAGTCTGCAGTCACAGGGCAGCACTAGACAAACTTCTTGTAACTGAATTGAGACCTGGTTTAAGGCTCCCAATTGTGCATAGTGCAAGGGTGAAATAGATTTACAAGTCTCTTTAAAAGTTTACATAAATCTAAACTAATGATCTAAGCCAGTGGTTCCCAATCTTTTTGATGCTGGGGACCAGTAAACCCATTCACAAGCTTTTGGAGGACCAGTAGCATTTATTTGCATATTTATTAAGCAAATGATGAATATGCAAATAAATTGTGTCACTGGCCCTACCTGTCCAGCGGGTTGTTCCGGCCCCAATCCCGGCTGCTTTATCAGCCAGTGCCGGCTCCCCTGGCAGTCTCCAGCGCCAGGCATTCTGTGTCAGTGAGCACAGTGCCTGGCCTTCTCCCTGGGTCCTACCACCCGCCAGATCTAGCCCTGTCGCCCAGGAGCATGCCCGGCAGAGACGCCGCAGTGGTGGGCTGTCTCCCAAGAGGGCCGCGCCGCCGTGCTCGGCAGTGTGGGGTGCTGCTACTCCGTCACACAAATTAATAGGATTGTGCATGATAATTTTTCTAAGGACCGGTATTTTTTTCTAAGAACTGGTACTGGGCCGCAGATGACACTGGGAAACGCTGATCTAAACCAAGATTTTTCAAGTGTTTAGTGATTGTTTGTAACTCCATTTTTTTAGGGGTCCAGTTTCAGACTGTTTAATTTCTGAAAGTGCCTGACATTTCTGAAAGTGCTGATCACCCCCCTTTGAAAATCAGTCCCCTTTAAGTTATCTCAAGTGGGGGCCTAATAATTGAGACATTCAGTCACTAGTCACTTTTTAAAATCTTGGCCCTAAACTCTAATAGCAATAAGCCACGTTAGACTACACTGATTATTGGTCCACATCAGGGGTCATCCAGAACTTATCAGAGGCATAATGATATTAGGTGTGTTTTCTTATGCTATCTCTGAGCAAATAATGTGATTCCCAGCTTACACATGAATACTCATGCTCACTTGATGAGCGCTTGCATGAGTGTGAGTGGTAGTACAGGCAGCAGCGTTGTCAACACAATTGAGTCCTCGTGAGTACATATCCACAGAGTTCAGGCAAGGTTGCACTTGGCATGACTAAGCAATGCTGCTGCTGTCCATGCCACATTGTTTATACTCAAACTAGCTCTCATCTAGTTTCCTCCAGTATACGTATATGAGCTAGAAATTGCAGCCCTAGTTTAGGATGAGTCATGTGCAAACTATCAGCGCTGTTATGCAGTTATATTATTTCAGTGTGAAATTCATATAGAAGCTGCAGTTTATCTAAAAAATTTACCTTTTCAAATGGTTCTTTAGGATATTTGAATAAACTGGAATATAATCTGTATTTCGTGGAGGGAGCATCGTGGTAATGAGAGTTAGCCATATGAGTTTACACTAGCCAGACTCTCTCTGGATTTCAAACGGGTTTTGTTTTTTGTGTGTTTGTTTTTGTTTGCTTTTTAAAACAGGAATAAAGCAATTGTTTAGTTCTTTCTTCCTTAGCTATGTTATGTCAGTTGTGGGGACAGTTGTCCTGCTCTCCTCAGTGCTGATGCGGCCTTATCTGGAGGGCTGTGTCCAGTTCTGACAGCCACATTTTAAGAAATGTGGAAAAATTAGAGAGACCAGAAGAGAGCAACAGATATGAAGATAGGTTTAGAAAACTGGACCTCAGAGGAAAGCTGAAAGAATTGAACATCTTTTGTTTAAAGAAGAGAAGGCTGAGAGGGGGAATAGAAGTCTTCAGATACCTAAATGGTTGTTTGGTCAGTTGTCCAGAAAGGGTAGGATAAGTAGTCATCCGTTTAGTTTGTAGAAATGGAGATTTAGGGTTTTCTAACGTTTACCTTTCTAACAGTAAAGCGGTGGCTAAGCTATGGAATAGGTTTCCAAGAGAAGTTGTGGAATCCCCATCATTGTAGTGTTTTATGAATAGATTGGACAAATACCTGTCATGGATGGTCCAGGTTTACTAGGTCCTACCCGTTGGGAGGCAGCAGGGTGTGTGCGAACTAGATGACTTCTTAAGATCCTCCCCAGCCCTATATTTCTATGTTTGTACAGTCAGGCTTCAATTTACTGTATTTTTGGCATGGTTTCAGTTGGTTGTGACCCTTTATTTTTGTACATGGTAGGGGTCCATTTTTATCTAGTGCAGCACAATCACCCAGATGTGCAAATCAGAGACATAGCTGAGACCCAGCAGGTGGATGAGCCCCAACTTTGGGTGGGTGGGCAATGTCAAGGCAGGGGAGAAAAGGCAGGAGGGATGAGGCACATACCCTCGCCCCCTCCAGCTAGCCTTGCAGGGGACAATGGAAACTCTGGCCAGGTACCCTAGGAGCGAA